AACATACATAAAAATTAGTACTTTGAGGATTTTCTCATGGACCCAATTATTAGATTTTGACTAAATGCATATGCGACCACTCCTAAAGTACTCTCTTTCTAACAAAAAAAGAATGATTGAAATCGGACACTGTGTTAAAGAATTATCGCTGAACATACATACAAAATGAAGAGTTTGAGGATTTTTTCACGGACCCAATTATTAGATTTTGACCAAATATATATGGGACCACCCCTGAAGTATCCCCTTTTGAACAAAAAAAAAAAGAATCATTGAAAGCGGATACTGTATTAAAGAATTATCGTGGAACATACATAAAAAAATATTCGAATGAATTGAGAACCTCCTCCTTTTTTTGAACTCGGTTAAAAATCAATTTAGTGACGTGTATGTATGTATGTATGTATGTTTACTATGTTTACGTCACCTGTTACTTTTTTGTATGATAGATTCGAATGTATTAATTTTTTTACAGGCTTTGTTAAATGTTAATAGTGCCGTAGTAAAAAGAACCATAGTAATTCGTAAAGAAAACCTATTTAATGAGGAAAGATTATCCATTTTCGCGAATATGGTCAAAATATTTAAAAAGAATAATTACAAAAACACAAAATCTATACCACATATTTTATAATTGTTTAAGTTGTGAATTCACTTGTTTCGGCCATCAGGCCTACAATACAAATTAATTTATGTGTAAGAAGAAAACAGATTATATAAAAAACAAATTTCTTACATAAGGTGTGAAATGATTACAAATAATATAATCTACGACAGAATGTTAATATTGGACTATTTAATACGTTGGGTTTTAAACCATAAACCATGTAAAAAATATGTGGTAAACTAAACATAAGTAACAAGTTTTTTAAAAATATCAAATAATGAATAAAAACGAACAATATGATACGAGGGTTGAATTTAAAGGCAAGTTAAAGTAGTCTTATGTAGTAGTAATAAAAACCTAAGATATGGGTTTGGTCGAAGGTAGGAGATCCAAGATGAAAAATTCGATAGTGAAATAAGTTTAGGATTTTTGAGAAATCACTAAATAATTTGTCTGTATTGGAGACAAAAAGAAATTAAGTAGTTGAAGGTATTCAGATAAATGTATACCCCTGGATTGCGTGGTGGCAAATAATATCCACAAACATTAAAGTTTTTATGGTACTTATATTAACTTCAACTAGTTAATTTCCACATTTCCTATATTTATAATATAATCTGTTTTCTCCTTATATATAAATTCATTTGTATTGTAGGTCTGAGGATGGCCTGATGGCCGAAACCAGTCGTTTCACAACTTAAACAATTATAAAATATATGTGGTACAGATTTTGTTTTTGTTATTATTCTTTTTAAAAGCGGCGACAGAATAGAAAGAAATCTCATTTAATACTATTTCATTTCTTTGTCTACAACGAAATAATGTTTTCTTTCTTATTTATTGAATAAGTAAGACTTAAACATCGATTATTTTGAAATGGTTGGTGAGCATTCCGTTTTATTAAGTGAGATAGAAATAGAGCTAGAGCTGAACCATTACACATACACAAATACACAAGCATATTATTAGCTACCTTTGATAAACTTCCTTTTGGAAAGCACTGACGGATCCGAAAATTTCTGAATTTCTGAAATCAAAGCCAAAACAGAGAATCCGGATCTTCAAAAAAATATTGTTTTAATTTTTTTGCCAACGTTTACAAAAACAACGAAAGTGGAATAAAAATCGATTTTGATGCAAACATTCAATTGGATATTGTGTAATTTAACACACTAAAAGATACGTTAGCTTGTAGTGCTTTAATGACATTTACTGTAGTGTCCAATTAAGAAAGAACGCCGGCAATGTCCAAAAAACCAGCAATTAACTGGAGTGGGCTTTTATTGTTCATCTCACTCGGGAGTATTTATAATAACCATTTTATGTTTCATATTGTCATTGTCTGGTCCACAATCTGGTGGATCAGGATTGTTTAGAGTGAAATAGAAAATAGTTATTATTACTCCCGAGTAAGATAAAAAATAAAATGGCTGCATCCACAGAATTGCATCTTAATCCAATTGACAGGCATTCTATTCCATTCCAGTTCATTGGGAACCAGTTATCGTACAATCTTTTTTTTAACATAAGTGATTCCTGGAAATTATTTTCAAATTCTTACCTTCGCCGCTAGGGGACGTAAGGCTTATGACCAATGTTTTCATTGGAAGACATATTACCGTTGCAAGGTAATTGCAAGAGATTTCGCCATCTATCCTGCTTTTATTACTTGCTATGTAAACTGGTAGATGGTGCAAATGACCTTGAAACGACAATATGTCTTCCGATAAAATCATTTATTACGTTATGTCAAAAATTTTAGTCAATTTTGAATCTTCGCTCGTTTATTTGTTTATCATTGGTCATAAATAATACGCCACCTATTGGCAAAGTTAGAAACTTGAAAATAATTTACAACTCTTCCTCTTGACCACGTTTGTATTTAAAATTGTATTCCCAAAATTCTATGGCGCCTAGTTTCTGACATACAGGTTATATCCTACAGCCGCTTTCTTATTTCGACACTTGGTAGATAACTAGAGATTTTCTTTTATTTGCTATATTAGTGTAAAGTAATTTGTTTGACTAACATTTGACTCTTAACAAAAACAGACCATTCCGTCATTGAAATTGACTATATTAAGTTAAGTTTTCCACAATGACGCCAGAAGAACGGCATAGAATAAGCGATGGTATTTATTAGACAGATGTAGAACAGTGCGCGCCAGCCCACCCCTGGTAGAGGTATCCATCTGTCCAATCACGACAGCCAGGCAGCCGATTCATGAGAGCCACTCTTTATTTTTGTCACGTGCAAATATAAAAACCATCCAAAAATGTAAAAGGAAATAAATGTTATGTTAATTTTATATAAAAAATAGACCTAAACAATACTATACTTGATGCAACTACTTACTTTCGGAATATATTTATAAAATTTTAAAAACTATGTGATTTAGTCGTAAACAAGAGACACTAAAATTAAATCAGCCTTCTCTGTCACTGTTATATGTCATTAGAACACAAATTACGTCATCACTTATATAGCGTATTGATAAAAGATCATTTTGTTAGTTATCAAATAATTTATGGGGAAAATAAAATTATATTCAATTGAATTAAGTATAAAAGATAAAAAGTTCGTTTTTTGACAATGATTTATTCAAAAAACTAAAAAAATGTCGCAAAAATTTTTAGGAACTTAGAATGTTAAATTACAAAATTGTCCGATAAAGCAAACATTAACAAATGGTTTGAATTAGCAAAAAAAAATAATTAAGCTGTTTTCTGTTAGCTTGCTAAATTTTGAAGTTATCTATAATTTTGGGTGTACAAAATTTTTTATCTAAATTAAATTTTTATAAATGTTGATAATCGGTCTGTTACAAGAAGTTTTACAGATATTTAGACACTAAGTAATTTGAAGTTCATCACTCAGGCAGATCACATTCACAAGCTCCGTTAAATATTATCAGACCCATAAATTTTAATGAACCTTGCAATCGCCTGATATAATTATTTATACGTCCCCACCAAGAAAACAGCAATCTCAAACAATCGTCTATTTATTTTTACATGTTCAAACTTTAGTTGCATTAAAGAATTCTCCAATTGATTAAATACCTAAGCTTTTTTTGTTTCCAACCTTTTTTTTGTTATCACCTTAATCCGTTTGTAGCGGCGGCACTGTAGACTGTAGCCTGCGGCTTATTATAGGTCTGTTCCAATACGCGCGAAAACCGTAATATTACCGTACAAATCATGTTTGTATACTAAAAAGAATATAGAGGATGGTCCTAATTTAATTTTTCTATACGAGGATTATTTAAACCAGAGAAGACAATGAGTCGAATTGGAAAAAGGTTTGGTATTTGAGGAACTAGTTTAGTTATATCGATAAATTTATAAAACCAGGGCGGGTTCAAGAGACATTTATAAAAACAGAATTCTGTCGTTTTTGTTTCTTACTGCTTTTTCTCCCAAAATAAAAAAAATGATTTAAAGTTATTCTTAATTTGATATCATTCAATTTTGATGACGACGTTTCGTGTTCGCAGACCCATCCTCAGGTACATTTTTATTTAAATACGGACATGTATTCAGAAAAAAATAATTTATTCACCCAAAAACTTAAAAGCATATTCAAACTTAGTGCATAATATTAAAAGCTGTATTTAAACATGAAATTTTGATTCGAATTTTACTGAACTCACAAACAACTCAAAATTCTAACTATCTAAAAAAATTCAAACGTTTTAGATATTCATTCCATTTATTTAATAAGGACCAATGGCAAATATTTGATCGAATTTTGACAACTTTGATAACTTTCATTCTTTTCACGTTTTCTTGACCTACACATTTTATGGCTGATTCATATTTCTAAAATCCGAAAAGACCAGTTAGCTGTTTTTTTTTTGTTAACATGCTTTTGACATATATCATACTTGTTGCAAAGTGGTTCTAGTTTCAACATTTCATAGCACAATTTGCTTTATTTATTCCAACATGGTATTTCAATTAAGAAGAGCCATAAACCTGCATTTTCAAATCACTCTATCAATCAAAAGAACAATCAAAATTTGGAGAAATAATATGTCAAATTTAACAGGTACTTTCGAAACAAAAACTATTTAAGAACTCTAAATTTGCGCAAACTACGAAAAATGATTACCACATTTTTACCAAAACTTTAAAAAAATTATTTATCTTTGGTATCAATTACATCTCATTTGTCATACACAAAAATGTTTCTTTAAGCAACGCATTATTTTCGCGTTTATAAAAAGTATCAATACTATTTGTCATAGAACTATTTCAAGATCTATCGGGTTAGATATCCACATAACGTGTGTTTTAATAATTGTAAAAGCTAAAATATTGCTATTCAGTTTTGATTCTACTGACCTCACGACTACTGTTATTAAATATTAGTTTAAAGAATGATACAGACCACAGTTTTTACCTCCTTGCAAGCAAGATTGTGAATGATGGCCGAGCCTCTATCTTGTAGCACCGGAGAGTCGGATAAGAGCGAATGTACGGCAACTTTGGTTGTCACTCGAATATTGCTGGTCTGAGTGTTGTTGTACGTCCATTCTGAAATGTAGAGCAGCCACTCGGAAGAACTAAGGTTTTCGAACATGTTCGCCATCTATGGATTGAATAATAAATTAAAAATAGGAGATAATACAAATTTACACATCGATAATCAATTATTTTTTATTAATCGATTATTTTATCAACGAATGGTTTATTTTAAATTAATCGATCATGTTCGATTAATCGATTATTTTCGAATGATCGATATTAAGTGTAGTTAATAGCATTGATTCAGAACTACTAAACCTTTACTTTGAGTGCATGTCCGATTCATTATCAATTCTGAATTATTAGAATTATTACTGCGAACGCAACTTCTATTATATCTCGGTATTCTAGGTAGGAGTGGCAAAATAATCGATTAACCGTTTAGTCAATTAATTTTTTTAATCAATTATTTCGGATTCAAGCATTTATTCTTACTTGTATATTTTATAGTTAAAAGGGGCTTTTTCAGAATACAATTAAACATTTTACAGATAATTCATAATAATTTTCCTGTTCTACAACATTTAGAATTTAATTATTTGATTATTAATCTCTATAATCAGATCGTTTCAGATTTTTGAATATATTTGATATAATTAAAGTATTATTTTGTTCGTACTTACAAATAAAGCAATTGATTCTTGTTCTTGCATACTTAATCTGTCGATTTCGAAAGCATAATTCATTAAAACGTGATCCTTTCGATCTTGATGTAGAACCAAAATTACATCGTCTTTCAAAGCTGCTACTGCTAATACGTTAAAAGTCTTGACTCTCACATCAAGAGGAAACTGATTATCGTTTAAAAGTCTTCCTAGAATTAAAAAAGTAAGTAAGTATCTAAGTTAATGTGAGCAGATTCGATAAATTATGCGATTTCATCTATCAATAATATAACTATTAAGTGAAGAGGTTATCTAAAAGTTTCATTTATACAGAGAAAGAAAAATATTTACCCACGAAATCGAGGAATCCGTCACTTAAAGCCCAACTACCTTCATCGCCAATCATGTACTGTTGAAGTTCTTCAGTAGCTCTTTGTTCTTCAGGTGTCAATTTACCATCTATAAGAGCAACCAAGGCATCAAATTCTGCCTTGACCTGTAAAATGTATAATTACATAATTTTATTTAACAAAAAAACCCTATATAAACTGTTCAAAAATTCAAGCATGGTAATATTAAGGAAATATATTATTTCGTAAGGTTGGCGAAATTTTGTAAGACCAACAATACCAGTTCGAAAAAATGGAAAAAATGTTTTATTGTTGTATCTAAATGTAAAACAGAAATATTCTCCTAGTGTTCTATATAAAATTAAAAAAACAACTAATTTACCTAACCTGTGCGGCCTGGAGCAATGGCGGTTTGCTTCGCAAAAAAAATTATACATAAAATAATAAAAAAAAGTATTTTCGAGTTACAGTTTGTCGAACAAAACAATTTTCGATCTAAGATTTTTCGAAAAATAGTATTTTTGAACTGTTTTTTCGAAGAAACGTATTTTCGAACTAACGTGTTTCGAACAAAATGCCTCCAACCATTACTTAAAAATTTAGTGTCTTCAATTTTACTAAGATCTTTCCCTTTGTCCTTTGGACTGCAAATAAGTGCAGTTGGTGATTGTTTTTGTTGTATAGACACTAACCTCAGACCATCCCCCATAATTAAATCCACTGTAACCAAAGAGGTTAGAAAGGGTAGAGGTAACATAGGAAGCATTTCTCGCTGCGCGAATTTTGCCAAAACCGAAAAACTGGGTGGAAGGAGTAGGGAGGTGTTCTGGGTCGGACTTAAATATTTGTATTGTAGTACCTAATTTTGGTGGGTAATTAAAAGATGAAAAATTATGAGACGTTTGTTTGACTTTATTTGTTAGCACGATTCATGTATGATGAGGGCAATAACACTTTATCAATATATAACTAGCTAAGGGCCGATTCCACCGTTGTGTCAAACGAAGTTTAAATTATTAAACGAAGATTAAAATGACATTGTTAATATAAAAATGTCATTTTAAACTCTATTTAGTAATTTAAACTTCGTTTTTGTTAATATAAAAATGTCATTTTAATCTTCGTTTAGTAATTTAAACTTCGTTTAATAAAACGGTGAAATCGACCCTAAGTAAAGTTTATAAGTACTTTTTGCTCGAATTACACACAAGATTTTTTCTACGATCACACCAAAATAAAATAAATAACTAAATTTTATTAGAAATGGGTTACCTTTTCGTTCGTTATAATATTTTAAGTTTATTTGACATAGGCCTACTGTTATAAGAGAAAAAATGTTTTGGTACTTATATCCTGGTAATTATTTATGATTTAATTATTTACGGAAAATACCGTCCAATGAATTAAAATATTAGAAAGTCAATTAATAGTTATTTATGTAACCAGTTACGAAATGCCTTATTTTGTGTAACGAGTAAATATTTGCAAAACGAGCGGAGCGAGTTCCCGCAACATGAACGACTTACACAAAACGGCATTTCGTAACGTGTTTATATACAAGATTTTTTCTAATTTTGACTTGATTATTTATAAAATTGTGTTGAAAAATGATTCACCATCATTCTTGTGTAGGTACTTCCAATCAAATATTTTAGAAAATTATTGTATTTGATTGCCCTACGACGTTTTTTTTTTCAATAGTAATAATAAAAATAAGGGACATGTGCAGTGTTGCCGATCTAATTTTTGACATTACCCGCGAGAAATTTGAAAAAAAAAACATTTTTACCCATTATCCTTAAAGAAGTACGTCAAAATTTTACCCCCAACATTTCTGGGCAGTTTTCAATAACGGTGTTATTTTAAAAATTAAACGCAATTTACAGCTTCTCTTTTTTTGTTTTTAAACGTAATGTCATATTTTCAAATGTGAAATGTCACTATTCATTGCCTCTTTTTCGATATTTGGTTTTTTCGATTTTTCGTTTTTTGGATTTTTGGATTTTTCAATTTTTTATTTTTAGATTTTTCGATTACTCGATTTCTCGGTATCTCAATTTCTCGATTTTACGATTTTTCAACTTAGAAACCAAAAAAGAGGCTGTTTTATTTATTTTCATTTCGTAACTGGTAACATAATCAACTTTTCGTAATCAGTTGCATAATGTTCTACTTTATGCAAATGTCCATATAAACATTCATTAAATTTATTTAAGCCAAAAATTATTGCAAGGATCTCTCTTTCAATTTGGGAATATTTTTGTTCGGACTTTGATAAGGTACGCGAAGCAGAAACTATAGATTTCTCAATTTTTTTTTTTTTTTTTTCAAAAACATGACATATCATGGCCCTTATTCCCACATTTGATGCATCTACGAATAATTTAATCGGCTGAAAATACACAAGAGCATCATTTATTTTTGATTTATTCCAAAGATTCCTTGCAAAAATTATCCCAAATCTATTTCACCCATAAAAAATTAAATAAAACAAAGTCCTAAAGCAAAATCATATCCGCCTTCCTGTTAGTGACTTAAAAAAAACGGTCCTCAAGCCAGGTCCCTCCATTTTGTGGCGATAGTACTGTTTTTTTTTTATTGTGATTATTTTCTTCGCGGAAACTTTGGCTTTACACTTAGAGTAACACTATTATAGAGAATTACTAAATAAATAGTTTTGGGAAAACTATTGAAACCAGTTGTGAAGTTTGAAACGAATAAATTGGCAATGAAATTGATATTTTTGTATTTGATTGTATGTTCCTCTTTTCACTTCCTAAAAAAAGATGAAACACGAAATAGTAAACAGTTTATAATAATAACCTTTATTTGCTACTTATAACATGTACCAATGACCAAGTCCGATTCTGTTTATTTTCAAATCAACAAATATGGACGTCGACAGAATCTTTAAAAATTAAATATCTCACCGAAATAAATATAAGTTTCTTTTATCTCCGTCACATTTCGCAGGTTTATTATAAATAAAGCTTTTTACAACACATCTTGGCATTTTCAACGTTAATTTCCAAAATTTAAGTCACTAAAATACCAAATTAATTCTCGTTGACACATTAAATTTGGATGGACAACGGTCTGACATGTGATGTTCTCAACTGTGATTGGTGGGTGTGAATCATTTTGAAATGGGATTATGCGCAGTGTCTTATGTTCCATCTAAGGTTTGTATAATCTAAGACTGTAACACACATATCTAGTCCAGCCACAGAATAACCTACCTATTACAGAAGCGAAGGCTTGCGTCGGGACTTTGATGTCGGGGTAGTCAAAATTTAAAGTGACACTCGGTGACAGTTGACGTTTTTGCCGGTTGTAACACTGGTAAAAATGAACAAGATTCGTATAAATTCGGATAATACACTGAGAAATGGATTTAAATATCTGTAACAAACTTTTTCTCCTCTGAATTGAATGTTAGTGATATAATTAGAAATATAAGGCTTCACAATAATTTATTTTAAAGTAAATTGTACTGATCGCTAAATTAAAAAAAGGTTTTTACTTGAGGAATCAAACCGAATACTCGTTGTGCTTAATTCATCAGTTTTTTTAGATAACATTAACTCTTTAACAGAGTGATTCTTTTACTATTTATTGAGGTATTAATTGTGTACTTTCCTGGAAAACACCTTCAACTATGATAGTTAGATCTAGAAAAATAGATTATAATTATTATTATAATTATTTTTAATTAAGTAGTTTAATTAAATAGGTTGAGTGGAAGAGAGGACTTACCCTTGCTTGCAAGGATTAGACCTAACTCTGCCTTTTGGCAAATATTGTATTTTGCTTATCTGTATGTTTTTTTTTTCTCTGCCAATAAAAGCTTTTATTATTATTATTATTATTATTATTAAATGATAATAACTGGCATTAAAAATGCAAATATACTTCCCAATTGTAATTTTGAAAGCCTTTTATTTGTTTTAGATCCTTATAATAATTTGACAACTCAGTGGATAAATCCGTGATTGTTTGCGATTTAATTTTTGTAAACAAAATTAATTTAGTAGTTGTTCGTCGTTGATAGAAAAGCATTACCAATAAATGGTGTAACGATTTATTACACTGTTTTACACTAGCACTTACGTTCTCTGCACTAGCTCAAATGGCTTTTCTTTCTTTCGAGTCTTTTGTTGAGTGCAGAGTTGTCCAGTAACTGCATTTCTTCATTTGTGCCCGGGCCCCGGGAATTTGTCCCGGCTACCCCTCCCTCTCATCGGCCCTGGTGACATGACAGTTTTGCCGGTTATAAAATGGCGGACCTGATCATGCGCAAAAAATTTTGAACCCTAAAAATTAGCTATCCTTCGCTTCTGTATGAGGTAGGTTATTCTGTGGTCCAGCTTAGAATAGACAATAAATAAATTGTTCTTTCATACTCAGTGTGAGTAGTTTTTGGAATACAAACTTTCCAAACATTGCACCTGATTTTGCTTGAAGCGGTAATTGTACATAGTACAGTACGACAAATTTGATATGACAAGTGAAATGCGCGGAACATAGAAAGAGAGCAGCCTAAGAAGGATAGACGCAGCTTGCAGTGAGTGAAGTAGCCACACCTCCTGACGTGTAATGTATAGTATTTAAACATGACGATAAACATATCTAAAGGAAAATTTCGATCCAATTTGCCAGTGCGCATCTAATTCTGACTTGCCATCTCAATCTTGTCGCACTGTACCTAAGTGTCCTACATTCATAATAAAAAAAGCTAAATAGAATTTTTTAAATACGTACATCTATTACGTCCTTAAAAACAACTGGGGGATCTCGTGCCTTTTTCTTAGCCTCCTCTTCTCTTCTTTCTTCCTCTTCCATAGCCAATGCTTGGTCAGAGGGTAGTTGAGCTTGTCCATTAACAGCCTCTGTGTCCGCCATTGTACACTCCTAAAACATTTAGTACTTGGAAGATAATCTATCAGTTGTAAGTACCGCCATTTATAAAAAATTGTGTCTAAATTCATACTTTTTCTCCAAAAAGCAGACATTATAATTAGATAATTTTTGAGGTTTAATGCGCCCTTGGCATCTGACAATAATAATAAAGTTTATTTACTAATCCATAAATACAAAATATATAATTACGAGGGCTGTTCTTTTTCCACTGAGTCTATTTAGTAGGCAATGATATTTTTGCAACAAATTTTGTCTGATTTCAATCTAGTTGTTTACAAGTTTAGTTAGTGAGAGTTTTCAAATGGACAGCGTTATGCAAAAAGCTACCAACCCATAATATACTAGATACTGTGTTGGGTGCAGATTTGGGAAATAAAATACGCGTTTTGCATTCTGTAAGAACCTACCAAGCCTCAGTTAATTACATATACTCTATTATAAAACTATAAAATGCTAACTCACACCCTACAGCTTTTTTAAACGAACAAAAACTTTAGAGCTGATTATTTCAGTTTGTCACTATTGAGAGTTGGTAGCTTTCTGCATAATGCCGTCCAATGTTTGTAAATTATATAAGTTTAAAGTAACCCTTTCACCAAAAAGTGATGAAAATGAACAAAGATCATTATCGGTCTTTTTTTACAATTTCAAGCATGCCTTAAACCGAATGTTTTGAGGAAGTTAATCGAGTGTTCGGTGCAAATCGTGTTCCTTCGCTACCGTAAAACGGTGGTACAATGAATTTCAACGTAGCCATAAATGGCAGTTACAGAAAAAATATTGATCTCATTCGGAACATGATTAAAGAGGACCGGCACATTAGTGTCAGAAACATTCAAGAAACTTTAAAGATTGATGTGAAAGCAATTAACACTATTTTACACAAACATTTGAGAGTCTGTAAGCTTTGTTCTCGGTGAATTCCCCACAACTTGATTTTAGCACAAAATGAAGATTGTGCGACATTGTGTAGATCTACACTAGATCGCTTTGACCATGATCGCCTAATTTGGTACACACCATCAACGTTGCCTTTTGTAAATGAGGATATTTATCATCCCGCTTTGGATATTAGTATACAACTCTGTAATGGGTAAAAATATTAACTGTGTTTCTAAAAGAGTATAGAAATAACTTTAAAAAAGCAAACTTTGATTTGCTAAGTGAAAAAGTTAGATATGCTAATTGGGAGAAATGTAAACAGAGCTTTAGATAATTATTATACTATTTGGAATGATAATTATTGAGGAATGGGTGCCTAAGTATACAGTAAGTAAAACTAGTAAAAAAACATCCGATTTGGTTTACTAATAGTACAGGATCCGAAGTAAGGTCGACCTTCACCCATCTGTTTAACGGATAAAAAGTATTTTAAATCAAATGTAATATATTAAGTAATATATCGCGAATAGGTTGACTGGAAAATTTCAGTCCAGGATATGATTAATTAAAAATTTAAAAATGATTTTTTTTTTTAAACATTGCACTTGTTTGTTTAATAGACATTTTACATACCAATCGAAAGTATGAAGCTTATAGAATATTATGCAAACGTTAGGTTGACTATTTTTTTCCTGTCATAACTATTGGGTAGGCAGGTATAAACAGTTGAGTCGATACTAATAATTTGCATTCGTCAGTTTAATAAATAAAACTTATGTAAAAATAAAGATAATTTCATTACGAACACGGTGATATAAGGTTGTCTACGAAAAATCTGTCCTGAATTCCGGTTGTCTCGTTTTAAAAGCGAAATATTGATGCAAATGAATATGAGCGACAGAGAGATCCCAGCGTTGTATCCCAATGAGCACACGTACTTAAAAAAAACCGTCAAAAACTGGTTAATATCTGAACGTATAAAACGTATTAAAATAGTTCAAATATCGGGGAAAATAACATTATTTGCAACCAAACGATATAAAAGACGTATTATTTTATAAAATTTTTAATAATCTGTTGAAAATCGCTAGAAAAATACGTTAGAAAATCGTATTTTATATACGTAAAACTTGTCAACTAAAATCTCAACGTTAAATGTTCAACCAATAACGGTTTTTTATACCATACAACGTTAAATTTATGTTGAAAAAACGAGTGTGCTCATTGGGATACAAAATTTTTATTATAATAAAATATATGTAAATACAGAATTTAATTTTTTTTCTTCTAATAATAAACATTATTCGGGATCTGATTCACCGGAAGAAAAATTTTGATCTTCAACTTCGGAAGATTCTTCGTCATCGCTTTCTTTTTCTGTTGTTTCTATATTATCTTCTATTGTTAAAGGTGTTTGATCCCCAATAAACCATGTTGGTTTTAATTAATCATCTAAAAACCAACTGCAGTCTTCAGGTTGAAGTTTTATGCATTCAGGGTCTGTAGCATTAAGCCGCATGGAATTTACAAAAATAGTCCGTAAAATTTTTTTGTTGAAGTGATATCCAGCGTGATGGTATAGTGTTCGAGTGACAACTTTTTATTTTCTTTAAAAACTGTTCGGTGTCTTCTTTTGCAGAGTAATTTTTCAAAAAAATACGATATCTCGCATCATTCACTCTGGCGCAATTCTTTATGCCATACATACTAGCAGTAAACTCTTGAACGGTGTTCATTTTTTTGTCTATGAAAATATCGGTTTCATCATTTAATGATGCAATAACTGTTTGGTACCTTTCATTACTCAAAATTAACTTAAAAGGTTTTACTTTACCTTCATTTTAAAATGCTGCCGTGTAATCGCAACCTGTAAATGCATGGAAAGCGGGTAGACTTCGGCATAATTTGTTGCTGAATTGGCTAACCAAATTTCAGATTCCGAAATTTTGTCCATATTTCCCAACAAAATAATCAAAACATCAGTATCAGAGGCTTTTATTAAAATTCTTGAGCCTGGTGCCGCTTTATAAGCGTGAAAAATAATCCTCGTATACGCCTCTTATCATGATGACATACATAATTAACTTCACTTTTTTTATGTAATCTTGCTGAGCTTGATAAGAGTAGCACTGATGGTCAACTGTTAAATTTTTTTTGCTTTGTATTATTGTTACCAAATTTTTGTTTTCCTAAGAATCGGCCAAAAACTGTACTAAAGCCTCTTTATAACGATGATTTTTAAATCTTTGCAAAAAATCTTTAGGTCTGGTTTGTTGAGGTCCGGAAATTTTGTAAGGAATATCGAACTCTTTTCGACTTTGGCGTTGGGAATCTTTTATTGACGGTTATAAATAGCGATCGAAAATTAAATGTATTTCTGTAGCGTTTGTTAACATATCGACTCTGCAACTTTTTCAAAAGTTTGTGACATAGATGATTCGATCAGGTGTAAGTAGTAAAAACCATTTGTTATTTCAACGTGACACTAGAATCCAGACATTTTGGGTCTTCATCAGCGGCAGAAGTGAATTTTTTTGATTAAATAAAAATAAATGACATATAATTTTTATTAAATGTTTGATTTTGATGAATGAAAATATTCTCATCAATGATGTTACAAAAAGTCACATAAATCAGATTTTTTTGTTTATATCCTCAACAACAATTTTTTAAGAAATTAATGAAAAGTTTATGTATGTCGAAAATTAACAAAACCATAGGTGCTCATTTTTTAATAATTTATTTAGTTAAAACAAAATGTGTTATTTCATTATAAAAAATATAGAAGATGTATTTACTAAGATAATTTAGAATATTCATTTATTATGTACTGTATTCTCAGAATTAAAATTATTAAATTCTTCCTTATATTTTTTATTCAAAGCAGTCACTTTTTTGTAACAGGTGGTATGATAACCAACAAAATCGAGAGTCGCAATTGTATTTAAAATTTCTTATTTTACCAAAAGCCAATTTCAATGAACAGTTTTTAAAAGTTTCAAAGTTAAAATCAATTACACCGTCGTCCAAATTACACAAAAAAACTTTTTAGCCATTGTTTATTACAATATAATGTTAATAAAAAACAATGATAAGTAGTAGCACGTTTTTCCAATTCTATTGCGCGTATTCATTCACAGCAATATTTCGCTCTTTAAAAACCGACAACCGGAATTCAAGACAGATTTTTGGCAGACAACCTTATATCACCGTGTTCACAATGACATTTTCTTTATTTTGTCATAAGTTTTGTTTATTAAACAGACGAGTGCAAATTATTAGAATCGACTTACCTATTTATATCTACCTACCCAATGGTTATGACTGGAAAAAAATAGTCAACCTAACGTTTGCATATTCTATAAGATTCACACTTTCGATTGGTATGTAATTTGTCAATTAAACAATTAAGTGCAATGTTTAGAAAAAAAAAACAGTTTTAAATTTTTAATTAATCATATCCTGGACTGAAATTTTTCAGTCAACCTATACGCAATATATTACTTAACGTATTAAATTTGATATAAAATACTTTTCATCCATTAAACAGACAGGTGAAGGTCGTTTCCCTACTCGGATCTTAGACTATAATAGTTATTCACGATATAAGTGGGATAAGAGCTTTATTAACCTACGCATGCGAAATTTGCACGAGTTTGTAGCACGAGTTGGGCAATCGCAGAAGTCCGTTATTGTACAATTTTTTTTCTACGCCTCTAAATGTAAACATAAACGGTAATTATAATTTTTGTCTAAGACATAATTTAGGGTTATTATTCTCCACCACTGCCTACAGTGGCGACACATCGAAATATTGGGTGGCGGTTCTAACAATTGAATAAAAACTTTTTGTTTTTAACGTATTTTTGCATTTTTTAGTAATAAAATGAGCGATTTGGAAAGTTTGTCATCTGATACTGAAGAACAAGCTTTAAAAGCTATTTCCGGTCTGTTACCGGAAAGATCTAAGTCAAAATAATAATAAATAATTAAGCTGTAAATATAGTTACTTGTTACTTTAGATTGTGACAGTAATTTGTTATTAAATTTAACTAGATTTTAACATTTTGACTTTTTTATTTGATTGATTGAAAAGCAGTGAGATAAGAAAAACGCGTGCGTTAATAAACTTCTTATCTCACCCAAATGAGTGGGATAAGAAGTTCTTATCTCATGGACGTAGATAAAGAAATTAAAGATATGTTAAGGGAAAAAATAATTATCGACAAAGTGATTTTTATAATAAAAAGTTTAAAGAAGTAAAAAAAAGTCAAAACTTTAATTAGGTCGAAAGAACGACAGTAGTTAAGGCAACTAGAAGATAATCTAGCAACCGAGGTAAATGGGTTTTGGGACTTATGTAGAGTGTAAAAGAAAGAAAGGTGATCTTAATTTAGAAAACTACATTTATAAACAAACAACAGTGGCTCATAATAAATCAGCAGCAGTATTTGCAAATGTCTATTAAACGGTGTATGCCTCAACAAAAGCATCATACAATCCAGATTTCGCAACATATGTAACGATACATTTGTTTAAAAAAAAACAGAATTGGAATATAAGAATGCGATCAAAAAACTTAAAGCTAAAAAATCTGCAAGTATCAACGGAATACCTCACTATATTCTAAAAGCATGTTATGAATGGTTGAAGCAACCTCTTCTAGATATTTTTAACCTAGCTTTATCGACACAGATTTTTCCATCAATATGGAAAATCATATACGCAGTGCTATATCAACATGTTGAAAAATATATAATCCACCCAGCGGCATGGATTCGTTGAATATAAAATGTAAATACCAATTTGTTTATTTTTGCTAATAAAGCTTACGAAACAGAACGAAAAACTCAGTTACAGATTTTCAAAAAGCGTTCGATATGGTAAATCACCAATACATCACTACTTCAAAAATTAAATACATTTTGCATAACTACGAACTTCCTTTGTTTGAATAAAAGTTATTTATAAAACAGATGATTCATAGTAAAACATAATGGAAATATATCTAGAAAAATTTCTGCTGATTCGGGTGTTCCACAAGGTTTTAACCTAGGGCTACTCATGTTCTTATTATTTGTTAATAATTTACCATCTGTACTTAACTATTCTGATTGTTTGCTCTTTGCTGATGATTTAAAGGTTAAAACAGTACAGACAGTGAGTGATTATGTTACGTTACTTTACTAGGTCGGAAAGAGAACAGTTCTTGTATTTTAAATTTTAGAAGTAATAAACAAGAAAGGTATCATTTCTGTAATGCATAACTATTATAATTTTAATATAGTAGTTCGCCTATCTAAGGAAAATGCTGTCTGCTGTTGTGCCAAATTTCACAAGCATAAAATCATTAATTTCTTCACGATAACTAGAACCTGGGGTAGTATTCTCGAATCACGAATACCGACATTCACATACGTGTTTTACAATGTGTCTCACTTTGTTGAACGAAAACCAAGTGAGACAAATCATAAATCTCGCATGCGAATCTATATTCGTGACTCGAGAATACTACCCCTGTTCTATTTTTCATCCAATTTAATTTGGAATTTCAAAAGTACCAATCTACCAAACCAACCAACCAAACAAACAATCTGAACAAGAGGTAATTCTGAGCATGAAATTATTTACGAAGTTATCTAAGTCAAATATAATGATCTAGTCTATGCAGACAAAAATTAAAAGGAATACAACAACAAAAGTATTTATAAAATATCTTGGTGTGAATATAACTTGACCATTTAGTACTGGATTCGAAATAAACACATCTGTACCTATATTGGGAAAATTTTTGCATAGAACATGAAGAAATATTCAATGTTAATGTATCTATCAATATTAAAACGTCCCGCTTAAAATAATTATTTCGAGTAAACTTTTAAAAATAATCTCTACCTCTCTTAATTCCGGTGGCAACACGCCGCCAGCTTCTAATATTTTTTTACGTTTCTTCTCACGTTTCCTCTCCTTTTTTGCTATCTTTTCGTTAAGTGTCTTCCGTCGCTGTTCCAAGAGAAACGAGTTATATCTAAAAGAAAAGAGTTATTGAAATGACCAATATATTTATTTAGGAATGTAATTTTCAAATGTTAAACCTTATACTTACATTTATAAGGCGAGCAAAAATTACAAAACAGACATTATTAGTATTCGTTAGCTTTTCTGATAAGAGTAAATATGTACAAATGGCTAATTGCCTATCTATCTACATCCTAAATTATCTAATACATTTTTACAAAATATTAAATAAGAGGAGTAATTAAATTAATTGAAGGTAGAGAAAAATTAAACTACTTACTACCAGTAAGTTTTCAAAATTTTGTGTATCTGCTGTAACAAAGGTTTTTTAAGACATTTTGAGTCCATGGTTTTAATAGAATAACAACATTCCTAAATATGTTAAAAAAATTCAGGAACAATTGAGGCTTTCTTTGCATAAACTCCAGTTGTCATTAAATTCAACTTATGTGGTTTTTGATGAGAACTATCGTTGACATATAGGGTTTATGAAGAATGGTCGATATTTTAAATGAACGGATTACCGATGAGTTTGCGGATTTTTTTCAGGCAATGGAAGTTATATAACCATAAGTGTCATAATAAAAAATTCCGAAAAAACTGACATATGGGGTTTTTGCAAAACACGCCTCTATTATTTGACCCAGTTTAGATTAAGGGTTCAAATGAAGTTACGCTATAAAATACTGCTTAAAGCTAAGATCAAGATAATTGGCTAATAACTAATAACACAATGAAAATTCATAACATATTGAAAAAAAAAATAACAAAGTTACAACCTGACCTATATGCTTTTACATTTTTTTTTAATCAGGGTTCTGTATGAAAGTTTGACACATTTCAGAGATTTATGGGTTATGCACATCTGACATTTTATTATTTTTATACATTAGTTCACCTGCACCTGTCTGTGCACTAAATGACTCAAATTTAGATTTCAACACATAATGAGCGTTATTTACCAAATCGAATAATGAATGTTCCAACAGGACGGCGCACCTCCGTATTATGTACAGCAGGTCCTGTACTTAGACCAAGCATTTCCAGGAAGGTGGATTGGTAGAAGGGGTGTTATTGAATAGCCACCAAGATCTCCAGATTTGCCTCCGAAAGATTTATTTTTGTGGGGACATCTAAAGTCTAAGGTTTATGCTACTCAACCAACTTGCCTGCAAGATTTACGGCAGCGGATTACTAACTAGTGTCATCTTATAACACCAGAAATGCTCCTTAATGTTAGAAATCGATTTGATGAAAACTTGTATCACTGCATGGAAGTTAATGGCCAGCTTTGAACATTTATAAAACTAATTTTAATTTCAAAAGTCTTTTCACAAATGAGGCACCATTGAAATACCTTTCAAACAAGTTGTCACTCAGCCCTTCTATCCATTTAAGATTTTAGGGTTGTACAGCATCCTGTTCAAGGGGTTAAAGATAGGGGTTTGAAAATAAGTCAAAAGGGTTTCCCCCTCGAAAAATAAATTATCGTGTTCAAGCGAATTTTGACATTAAGAAACGCCAAACTTGAACCGTTTCATGTTCGTTGGCGCACCCTGTATAGGTGTCATTATATTGTTTTTCATTATAAAAGGAAATAATTTCCAATACTCAAATGTTACCAACTCATAAATAAAAATAGAGGAAAATAAGAAAACTCAAAGAATGTATCACAGAAACGTAGAGCGGAAAATAACTTTTTACTCTTTTTGGAGTTTTTATTTAATATGTGATTGTGATCAAGTGTTTAATTCAGTTGCTCCAGTTAAAACGCAAAAATCAGTGGGAAAGTACGCAAAAACAGTTAAGTTAAAATTCATACCAATAAAAAGAGTAAAAACTAAGCTCTCCATATATCCAAGTGATTGAAATTAACTTCGTTTGTAAATTGCATAGTTGCAGTAATTAGTTTTTCGCTTCTAACTCTCACTCAATCACCATTCAGGTATACGTGTGAATTTTACGAATCTGCAGGTTCAATTACAGATTAGAATCGAGCATGTCTATTTCTTGCTGACAAGTCCTAATAAGGACGACAATCAAAGCTAGAATTTTGAAAATAATTTTTTATCTCTGCTGTTTTCCTTTGGATTCAATGCTAGTTGTGGTATTAGCCAAAGGAGTAGTTCTTTACCGGGGAAAACAGTCGCTAGTCGTTTCTGTGACACAGTCTTTGAGTTTTTTCTAATTTTCCTTAATTTTAATATTGCAATTTCTCTTTAAAAACTATAATGATGCGTTGTGTAATAATTTTTCAGTAATAAAATACATTAGTAAGTGTCTAAAAACTGGAATTTTTATTTGCAGAAATATTAATTTGAATTTGCAAAATTTTTAATATTTAATCGTTGGGCTTTAAAATGTTTAAAAACATTACTGGTCCTATCTATCATTGCTAATTTGAAATAAGCTCCGCATTGTGGCGCCATTTACTTACGATGAAAAACCTGTAAGATATTTCCATCCCTTTCCACCTCCTTACAACTGATAAGTTATCTATTTCTAGGTTTGTAAATCTTTTTTTTTTCTCAATTCTCAATTATATTTGGAACACATTCAGCCTAAACAAAATGAGGGATTTTCTTTATTTTATTTTGGTTTAATTAATGAGAAATAAAGAGTTAGATTTTGAAATTGTATTCCTTTAATTGGCAGGTACTATAGTTTACATTTTGAAACATGAGAATGAAATTTATATGTTGTATAATTACCAACAGAAATAGATTTTATTATTTAAAATACAATCAATATACATTTTGAACTCTAAACTTTAATTTTCAATTTTTATCTAAATTAGGCAAACCATTTTAGCATAAACGATATTACTATGACGTCTGAGTTACAAAGTATTTAGAATTAAAGGAGCTGATAGATATACCTAATGGAGGTCCTACACGCTCCGATATGGCTTGAAGGCCAAAACGCACAGTTCCGTTCTAAAGGCAAAATTTATTCAGCTCAGTTCACTCTTCATCTTCGCGGTTAGACAAAAGAGGAGAGGCCAAATGAGAGTCAGAGAGAATCGATGGACTGTATAGTTCAAATCTCACAAAATTAATAGCTTGTAGGGCCCCTTATTCTTCAAACGTGGTTTTTTTTACGATCTAAAATATAATTCATTATCTTTTTTTGCAATAAAAGTTATCATTTTATACTAAATATTATTATTTTCATTGTTTTATATCTCTTCAACAATGTTATCAAATTAGATATCGTTTACTTTGTCTATGTCTTCAAGAACATCGTCTCCTGTATCTCTGTCTCTTATACATTTTCGCATTTATTATTCCTAACTTCCTACAACGACAGTGTAATGTATTTATATTGATATTTAATATAGGTCCATCATGTATAAACAAAGTTTGTTTTATCGAGGTACGCAAAAAGTAGATTTGGCGTACTGATAAATGCGAACTACACATTGTAAAAATATGAGAATATCTATAATATTTCAGTAGTTAAATATATGGGGTTTACATTGGTTGAACTAGTTTTATTCTACCCCCTTGAAATACTACAGACAGCTTCCATGGCAACCTGTGGTACATCCGGTTACGCGTCAAATGCGCCTCGACAAAAGCCCGCCGGCAAATGCACATCTCGACATAATCGCCCAGTACAAATGTAGAGGGGTGAGGTTTAAGATCACCTCCATTTCGGCCGTAGGGCAGGTTCTCATCGCACCGGTGATGCAAACACAGGCTTGTCTTTGTACTTTTGAGATATTGGCTCTCGTAGTAGCTAAACTAGTTCTGTTACTCCAGGCTATAGCCCCGTAAGTGATGATTGGTCTTACTATTGCAGTATACACATCCATCGCAGTATGTTTGGGTTACATCCCCATCATTTACCCGCATACATATTATTTTATTAAGGGAGCCTGTGAACTGGAATTCATAGGAAAGGCTTGTATGCCAGAGCGGTGCCCAGTGGTCTTCTACGACCGTCATTATAAATGGAAAAAACTACCAAGCGGGCGTATTCGACCGCCGAGAGATTCAACCTGCTAAACATATAGTGAGACCTCTTATATGTAGTTTTTTTTTTTAAATATGATGTCTAGTTCAATGTACCATGAGAAGTAATTTCCTCGACCGCAGGACGTCAAGTACCCTGATGGCCGAGAAGTGAAATGGCCTGGTAAGCCAGAGGTCGCCAGTTCGAATTCTATAGGGGTGCGCGGATTTTTTTAAAAATTTTCTTTCATTTGCATTCATTTGATTGTTTAGGAATTTATTTCTTAATTTCCTACACTTTTTCATTAGTTTTTAGATCTTTAACTAATAGATTTTCATCCTTTAGTACAACATTAAAGTATTTAAAGATTATTACAATCTAAGACACAGTTGGTAAATATACACATATTAATTTCAGTATGGATTCTAGCTAATTCTTTTCTAATAATTCTCCTATTTAATTTAATGTTTAAAATGTTACAGATAATTGATTTTAACAAATTCTTTTGAAGTAAACGTGAAATACTACAAATTTTCTTCAGGCATATAAAATTTGTATACAGATATCAGGTAAATAGATCCTTTCAGCTTAGATATTAAGCATGGAGAACATAATTGATGTTTTGGTATTATTTCTGAAGTATACAAGTAAGTGGAAATTCATTATTTAAACAAGGTCAACAATACTAAATATATAAAATACAATAAATTTATGTGCGTGATTATTTTGATAAAGATAATATTGTAATATCACACATAACCTTCAAATAAATATTTATATTTTTTTTATAATATGTATTAAATAATGTATGTACAATATACTATTAAATGACATCTTGTTCAAATGGTTTTAAATTTCTTTAGTATTTCAATCCTCATCTGTTTGAATACAAAATGCAGTATTTTCAGCTAGTTTGTTAACTGGAAAGTAGTTCATATTTAATAGATTGGTGTGTAAGTCTCAAAAATTAGTTTGCCTCTCACTTTACTGCTTTATTACGCTAATTATATTTTAGTTCAATGATAGGGAGGATTTAGGAACCTGAAAAGTATG